TCTAATTTGTATGTCTTCCAGGTGATAGTTCGTTTGTTTTTTCTTTTCATTATTACATTACTATACAGTATGTTACTACAATAGTCTAAAAGTCCCGTAATATGCTGAGATTGTAGGAAATCATTCCAAATTATAAGATGGCACCACGACAAAACAGCTTAGGCCAGGACCGCCTAGAGTAGGCAACCAGCTCTCCAAGATAACAAGCAAGTATGAGGCTGTCTGACGATTTTTACTGTACCAGATACGTCACCCTCGTCCGTCGTCCCAAAAACACCCAAAACCCCTCTAAGATGCCAAAAAAACCAAGCAAGAGCTGCTGTCGCAACACGCCGGTTAATGGTTATGCAGTCTTCGACTAAAATTTTGCAACTGCACTGTTTTGCATCTGAAACACGAGAATTACTACTTCAAAATTTATAGGGATCCATGACTGACAAAATAATATAAGTCACAACTGTGTGGCCTGGAAATGGCAAAGCACAGAATCTCCGGCCTTGGGACCCAACAACAAACTACAATAAAAACCTGGATAAAAGACTCATGGTCCTTTAGTAAGGTTTGAGAATCTCAGTTAGACCTTTCTTTCAAGGATATTTAAATCTGGTCCACAGGTTTGCTGTCGCTTTTAATTGGATACAGATAGTCATGTTACCTGTGACAATATCCGTCGTTCAATCTATCATTACAGTTTCGTGGTGCACAGGATCATCGAGTCTGACAATAACACACTGTTGACATCCTGAATTAGAGCTTTCACAGAATCAACCTTTATAGAAGAAATATTGAGATTAAGTTAATTTTTTTTAATCCGAAGGTCACAGTCAACCAAGATATAGGGTGGTGATAAACTTAATGTGATTTTGTTGAATTTTTGTCATAAATTTAGCATTTGTTCTTCATTTTTAACAAAATTTGGCATATGAGGGTTTTTATATGGCAAATGTAAAAATTTACCTTTTTTCAAATTATCTTATAGAGCAACATTTTCTGTTCTTCTAGACTTCGTACTTTTTAACGCTTGGTATAATCGAATTTTTCACTTAAAATATGGATAGTGCAATCATGTTTGCTTAAAAAGGGTATACTTTAAAAATATTGCTATGATTCACCCTTTTCGAGATATTTGTTTTCAATGCACTCAAGATAAAATTGTATTTTCCTAAGTTAAAATACTTTTTAAGTAGGCTGTGCCTGACAAGATGAATTATAAACGTCATTGTCACCGTCACGGTTTACTCTCTTGTCAGTTACTTTTTTAGTGCCGTAATCTATTAACTTTTATTGCGTACTTTTAGTATTAGTTCCAGTGTTCATTGTGTATTTATCACTTTAGTTTCAAATGCATATATGGTTTGCGTATATGCCCAAGAAAATTACAGCTCTTTAAGAGCTTGTCGACCTTATGCGCAATTGTATCCAAAAGGAGGCAGCCCGGTTTTGGAATCTTTAAAAACGTTCACCAGAGACTTGGGGAAACTGGTTAATTCATGTCAAAGCGGGATGTTGGAAGTCTTAATAGACATAATGAGGATCAATAAGAAGAAGTGGTAATCCAGGTTGCTGAAGATCAAGAAATAAGTGTAAGGCGTATGACAGCAAGAACTGGGATTAGTAAATCATCAGTTTTGAGAATTTTTCATCGCAAACATCATTTTACGCTGGTACAAAGACATGTGGATGCATATCTTCCAGCAAGACTAGATTTCGTCCGCTATTTCCAGGCTCAACAATATCGAGATCCCTTATTTATAAATAAAATTATCTTTAGGGATGAAGCGACTTTTACCCGAAAGGGAATTTTTAATTTTAGAAACAACCATACTTGGGATATTGCAAATCCTAACACCTTTACTGAAAGACACTTTCAACGCGAATTTAAAATTAATATTCGGTGTGGTGTAATAGACAATTCTTTTTGTGACCAAATCTAAACACAGAAGTATTTAAACTTCTTTAAAACAAAACTCATTGATTATTTAGACGAATTACCTTTAAATCTGCGCCGAGATATGGTTTTTATGCAAAATGGTGCCCCTGCGCAGTTTGCTGGACCGGTGAGAAAATATCTTGACGCTAATTTTAACTATATAGTCCGTGCAATACGAAGACCTGGGTCAGATTTTAGCCCATCAGCTTTTGGCGTATGGGGATATATGAAATTAATTGCTTACGAAAATACAGTAAGCACAAGAGATAAATTAATGACAAAAATTCAAAATGCTGCGGAATCATTTCGAAATGAGCAATTATTTCTCAAGATTTGGCGATTTTTCATTAAAGGAATTATAAAATGTATTGAGAGAAATAGAGGTAATGTCGAACATTTGCTGGCAATGACCGATAGTTTTTATTTCTGATTAATGTTTAATTTGAAGTTAGTTTATCGTTTTTATTTTGCCATTCATTGGAAGTATAATAAAGGGATTTAGATAATCTATGTATGTTAACTTAAGGTCGAAATTAAAGTAATTATCGCTCAAAACACTACTTGTATTGCACACAAACAATTCAGAATCTGATCTCGTCAACAGAACGTTCAAGATTGACCGCTGCAAAAACCAAACAAAAAAACTGGTCAGGCATCCAACGTTTTATCAACACCAACAGTCTTAACGTAATGTTAAACATAAACACCATTTCGCCCGTTGATTCGGAATAATACAGCTAACCAGGTGCGAAAAATACAAATTTATCTCAACCATCTAGGGTTATTTTTTCAATACATTCTTAACGTAGTGTTAAACATCATTTCGCCCTTTGATTCGGAATAATACAGCTAGCTAGGTGCGAAAAATACAAATTTATCTCAACCATCTAAGGTTCTTCTTTTTTTATTTTTTCATTTATCATTTTTTTTTATTTATTCAAAAGAACATAAGTCAACCATTTAAGGTTCGAAAATAAACATGTCAACCATTTAATGTTCCAAAATAAACATAAATCAACCATCTAAGGTTCCAAAAGGACATAAGTCAGCCATTTAAGATTCGAAAATAAACATATCAACCATTTAAGGTTCCAAAATAGACATCCGGATACTTGAGTATTAGCTCTCTCTTACCAATAAATTTGGGGTACAACCAATCCAAAATAAGAAAAATGTCACAGTCTTTGGCACGCACAGTATATCCCACCAGTGATGTTAACTTGAGGTCGAAGTCAAACTAATTATCGCTCAAAACACTACTTGTATTGCTCACAAACAATTCAGATCTGATCTCGTCAACAGAACGTTCGTGATTGACGCTGCAAAAACCAAACAAAGAACTGGTCAGGCATCCAATATTTTTATCAACACCATCAAGATAAGCGCGAGCAGACTGGCGCGGATGCATTTACCAGGTGAGACAAAATAACATTTATCGGGTGAGACAAAATTATAATTAAATAATACTGAACATTCCTAACAAGTATGTTATTTTTTGTTGTTGAGTGCAATGAAAGGTTTAAGTGTAAATATCTCGGAAAGAGTGAATCATAGCGAGATTTTTGAAGTACTTTTTTAAGCAAGCATGATTGCTCAATGCATACTTTAAATAAAAAACTAAATTATACCAACCGTAAAAAAGTTACCAAGTTTAAAGGTACAGAAAATGTTGCTGATAGCGCTCTCTATGCGATACTTTGAAAAAAGGTCAGTTTTTAGATTGCCCTATAAAAAAAACCTCATTTACCAAGTTTCGCTAAAAACGAAGAATAGATACTAAATTTATGGCCAAAGTTCAAAAAAGTTACAATGAGTTTATCACCGTGAATCTTGTTTGCCTTTGACTTCCTTACTTTGAAAATTTAACTCAATCGCAACATTTACTTGAAAGGAGTCTGCTGCTAAATTATTTACCATTACTTACGTGACACCCCGTATATAGTGCGTCGTATATGCCCAGTCATCCTTTCTACAGCATTATATCCAGATGTTAATCGCACTTAAGCGTGATTGCTCTTTCGAAGAATCTCCTGCCAGCAGCTTTTCGTCAAGTACATCGATAAACTACCTGACTTTCCAAGCTCAGCATACAAGGGCCTGCACCTGTCGATTTTGCGTAAGGCGAATGTCACACAATCAGTATTCACTGTGAAACGTCAGTTTTTGCCATGGAATGTGATATGTATTGACCATGTTGCTAGGATCAACAATTATGTATAACATTACGTAGAAATCCACTGACACTGACGGAACAATCAGTAAATACTGATGATATATACAGTAGATAGTGATCATGTGATATTTGGCTCAAACTCCGTTTGAACATGTCTGACGTATTGAAAATTATACAAAAAACCTGTTAGTAAACAGACTCGCAGTAGCCAAGGGGTCCAGACCAAACAGTGGCATTTGCAAGAAATACGTTCTAACATTTGTGATTACATTATATTGCAAAGGTATATAATGCATGCAAAATGCACACAACTTGTACATGTGCCTAGGATATAGCGCGGTACTAGATATTCCCAGTATTAATATCTCGCGATCAATTTCTAATCAACTCACGCTGATGACAGTTGTATGTGGTTTGCCAGTAGTCAGTCTCGTCTAAATCATGAACGCTTGCGAAGAACTTAGGTTGCTTGTTTAGATCTAGGAAACACTGTTTGGAAATATGCATTGTATGAAGCTGTCAGTATCGCGGTATAACAAGAAAGATGCTAGCTAGTTTGATTCTACATTTCCCACACACTACGCCGTTAAAATCTGACCACAGTCAATAGTGATCGAGTGATATTTGCCTTACAGACCATTTGAATCTGTCTAAGGCATTGAAAATTTTACAGAAAGTATGTTGGAGAATAGATTCGATGTGACAATGATGTCCAGATTCGGCTGTGGTATTTGCAAGAAATGCTCTTCTGCCGTTGTGGTTACATTCTGGTCGTATATTAGTTTCTTAGAGAAGTATTAAATGCATTCAAAATGGGCACAACTTACACATGGGGATGTCTTTTAAGTTTTGCATATGGAAATAAAACAACACGGTAGGTAGTTTTAAATGATTTTATTATTTTTCGAAGTATTCTCCACGAAGATTAATAGACATCTGCATGCGCTCGAACCAATTTTCGAAGCACTTATTCCACTCGTTTGCTGGCGGATACAAAACGGCATTTTTGAATGCGTCAACTGCTTCTTCTGGTGACTGGAACCTTTGACCACGCAGTCTGTTTTTAATTTTCGTTAAAGTAAAGAAATCGTTAGGACTTAGATCGGGACTATATGGAGGACGGTCCAATAATTCCACGTTTTCTTCCGTTAAATACTGCCTTGTTTTTTGGGCTGTGTGCGAGCTTGCATTGTCTTGGTGGAGGACGATTCTTCTTTCGGGGTTGATTTTTCGCAGCTCGGTGATGACTTTTGGCAAACAAATGGTGGTATACCAATCCGCAGTAACAGTTCTTTGCTGATTAAGAGGAATTGTTGCAATATGACCCGCTTTTGACACAAATGTCGCGACCATCTTTTGCGAAACACTTCGAGAACGGATTACTTTTGTTGGCTTTTCTTCACCTTGGAACACCCAAACAGCATACAGTCGTTAATTTTTTGGTTCATAACAGTAAATCCACAATTCATCACCACTAACAATATGACCCGCTTTTGACACAAATGTCGCGACCATCTTTTTCGAAACACTTCGAGAACGGATGACTTTTGTTGGCATTTCTTCACCTTGGAACACCCAAACAGCCCACTGTCGTTTATTTTCTGGTTCATAACAGTAAATCCACAATTCATCACCACTAGTAATGCTGTACACATTTTTTGAGTTTCCGGAATTGAAACAATCAAGCGTTTTTTGACATCAATTAACCCTGGCTACTTTCTGCTCTTCAGTTAACAGGTGGGGTATCCAACGAGACACTAATTTTCTTACTCCTAATTCTCTATGTAAAATTTTTTGAATTGAGGTCTTTGAGATCTTCAAGGACGCCTCAAGCTCGCGATATGTCACATGCCTATGTTCAATGATGAGTTTGCGCACAGCATCGACGTCTTCCTGGGTGACTGCCGTTTTTGGTGCACCCACCCTGGAATCGTCGCTAAGACTCACCCGTCCACGTTTGAATTCTCTATACCAACGGGAAATTGTCGACTGATGTGGCGCTTCGTTGCCGAAAACAGACAGTAACTCAGCAAGGCATTCTTGTTGCGATAATTGACTCTGAAAGTTGTAATAAATCTTGGCGCGAAAATGTTCTCGGTTGAGTTCCATTTTTCTAATGACTTGGTGACACTTAAAAATTTACTGTAGTGAGAACACTGCACGTATTGTTGTGAAACTTTGAATTTAAGTTTACTAAAGAGTGAGGTAAAGATTTCATACTGACGTTCGTTTCGCGCGGCCTACTATGATTCCATATGCAAAACTTAAAGGACATCCCTCGTAATTTGGCAGTAACAAGTCTAGTCTATGATACCAACGCTTGCAAGGAAGCTGGCTTACTTGCTCAGAACTAGGTAGTACTATTTAGATACATGTATTGTATGAAGCTGTCAGTATCGCGGTATAGAAAGGTGTGAACCAGGTTGATTCAATCCACGCAACACGCCGTTGAAATCTGTTTAGGTGAAGTTTCACAAAAATTCTGTTAGAGAATGTGCTCGAAGTCGCAATGACGTCCAGAATGAGAGTGGCATTTGCAAGAAATGCATTCCTACCTTTGTGGTTACATATTGGTGGCACATTGGATTTCTAGTGATGTATTGGATTTCAGCAGTATTGATAGAGCCCGACCTGTTCTCAATCAACTCACTCACGCTGACAATTGTACGTCACTAAATATGTTACATTATTTGGCAGTAATGAGTCACGTCTATGACACCAGCGCTTGCGAAGAAGCTGGGTTAGTTGCTTAGAACTAGGAAGTACTCTTTAGAAACATGTATTGTATTGAGCTGTCAGTATCGCGGTATAGAAAGGTGCAAACTTGGTTGATTCTGCACTATCCACACAACACGACGTTGACATTTGTCTAGGTAAAATTATACAAAAATTGTGTTTGAGAATGCACTCGAAGTCGCACTGATGTCCAGATCCGACTGTGGTATTTGCAAGAAATGTGGTTACCTTTTGGTGGTACATTAGTTTTGCAGAACAATATATAATGCACGCAAAATGCGCACAACTTTCACATGTGCCTAGGAAATAATGCTGTGTTGGATATTCGCAGTATTAATATCGCACGATCAATTTTCAATCAACCCATGCTGATAAATTTCATTGACTGCATTCCGGCGTGTTTCGACTGTGAAATCCATCGATTAATACCTGTCCTGTTCATCCAGAAATATATATATCATGTTATGAACATGATATTCATCTACACAATAATCCTTTTTCCGGAAATATTTGTATGATATAGCAAATCCATAAATCTAGGTATTGCAAAGTTTGATGTAAATAAAATTATGTTACGTGATACCCAAATATTTGTTGAAACAGCTCACATGCAGTGTTAGGATTGATTCGTATCCAGAGAGCGTTAACACAAGCTAAGAATGATCTTATTTTCATTTTAGTATCGCCCAGTTACATATTGCTTATAAATACTGCTCGAAAATGTCGTCACTTATGTCAGAAAGACAACGTTATCAAGTTTGTCCTCAATTTGCAATATTCGGGAACTTTTAAGTGTTTATTGTGCCCACCTCGACGTTTCTACAACCATCGAGATAAGTATACCTACGGGGTGCGGACTGCAAGCGTATATAAAAACGATCTGAATGCACTCTCAAAGCATCAGCGCACCTTGGTTAATGCTATAGGAATGCAAACTTTTGTTTTTTTTTTAAATCAGATCTATACAGGGTCTTCCTTAATGATATGCAAATATTTAAGGGTGTGAATCTACATAAAAAATTAATGTTAGTTTGTTTTATAAACTATGGTCCAAAAATGTTTCCTTATAAAAACTCGGGATGTTGAAGTTTTAGGAAAAAAATGGAAATTAATTAATTCTCAGAACCGCTTCAGATATTTTACTGATATTTAGTACGTAGTGGAATTTAATAAAGTTGCATATTTTTCAATGCAAAAATAATTTTTTGCTTTAACAGTTGTGTGCGTACGGGTATTGACTTCAATGTTTTTTTAAGAAAAAAATGGTACGCCAATAGTTTTTTGCCAAATAAAAGTATTTTTGAATTCCTCGTTCAATTTAAAAAAAATGATCTTTCCTGAATTGCTATCCTTCTATGCGTCATTTTTGAGTAAAAAAATAAAAACCGTTCTATTGTCTAGCTTGCAAAGTTATTATTAATTTAATTGGAAAAATTAAACACATTAGGGGTAATGAGCAACAACAACTGACATCATAAACATAACATTAAAACTAACGAAATGAATACAAACATTGTTGAAAATGGCCCCCTTCACTTAGCATGCATGCTTCCGCCCTCCTTCTCAGGGAATTGCGCACTCGTTGAAATATCCCTGGCATATTTTTTATTCTATCACAAGCTGCAACTATTCTTTCTCTTATTTCCTCTACAGTGTTAATGGGACTTGTGTACACTAGTGTCTTAAGATAGCCCCACAAAAGGAAATATTAGCTGTGGTCTGGGGACCTTGGTGGCCATTCTTTTGGCCCACCGCGGTCAATCCAACGATTTGGATAAACAGTGTGTACCATATATTGTTTCCTATTACTAACGGAACATCATCAAGCAGCAAAGGCAACTGTTGTTGAAGAAAATTCAGGTAAATCTCTCCGTCAAGTCGTCCCGGCACAAAGAATGGGCCAATAAAGTGGTTGCCAATAATTCCTGCCCATACGTTAACAAAAAATTTGTGTTGGAAATGGGTTTCGGTTACGACATAGGGATTTTCTTCTGCCCACAAACGATTATTGTGACAATTCTGAATGGCATTTCGAGAAAAATTAGCTTCGTCCGTGAACAGAGTCATCAAATTGCGTAATACTTTGAAGATACCACTGACAAAAGGTCACACGCCTTGGAAAATCAATGACAAGTCATCCCTGTACTCTTAAAATATGGTAAGGATATAACAAAAAATCCACTAAAATTCTCCAAACAATTTGATGGCAAATATTTAAGTGTCTAGCAATCTTCCTCGTACTCGTTTCAGGATGTTCTTCGACTTCGTGAAGCACTACTTCCTCAATTTCAGGTGTCTTCACACTTAAGAGGTCTACATTCAGATGTTCCATTTCGGACAGAACCAGTATCAACAAGACGACTATCTGGCAAAGCACGATTGGGATATCTCTGGTGATAAATCCATCTGGCTTGCTCACCATTACCGTCGTCAAGTGCATATACGTAATGCATTTCCGCCATTTCTGCATTTGAATAATTCACCACTATTAACAAGATTGTAAAAACTAAATGATGAAAAAGATGTCAAAGCGAACAGATTTGAATAACGGAGACTTGTCAGATGTCCAAAGCCAGGGACATATTCCAGAGCTACTAGATATTTATTGCTAAATTGCATTCTTCAATTATTACATTAATTTTTTGGACAATAGAACGGTTTTTATTATTTTACTCAAAAATGGCGCATTAAAGGAAAACAATTCAAAAGAGATCATTTGTTTTAAATTGAACGGGGAATTAAAAAAATTATTTGGCAAACATTGGTTCTGAAAATATTAAATAATTTCCATTTTTTTTCCTAAACCTTCAACACCAGGAGTTTTTGTAAGGAAACATTTTTGGACCATACTTTATAAAGCAACCTAACATTAATTTTTCATGTAGATTCATACCCGCAAATATTCGCATATCATTAAGGAACTTATATGACTTATACAGGGTGTTAATAAAGTATGTAGACAAACTTTAAACATCGAATCCCTGTTCAATTTGAAGACGAAATTTCAATATAAACACAGGTCCGCAACGGCTTTGTTTTCAAGCTAGAGCATATTAGCACTAAAAAAAAATGAGATATTGTACTAAAAAATTATAAAATAATGGAACGTATTTTATTTTAATTAGGTATGGCCTGTGATGAATATCACATGATTTACAGTTGTTTTCATACCCTCCATGTACGTAGACACGGATAATGTTATCCAGTATTTTTTGAAAAAATAGCATGACATTGATTTGTTTTGATCGCAATACTTTTAATATATAAGCATTGTGCTTATCTAGACACCTATGACGTACAAAAAATTGATTTAATTTATTTTCTCAAATAATTCGTGACCACTTTGAACATCTATTGTAAAAAAAGACTATTCGATGTTTTCTATTGTTGTCGTTCTATTCGAATGTTACTGTTCAAAACTATCGAACCTCTAAGTATTTTTTTTCCAAAAATACAGGATAATACTATTTTCATCCACGTTCGTATTGAGTCTCAGCGACTTGAAAATGTATCATAGGTTATACCAACTGTTCAATAGATACGTTAAATTATTCATAGAAATATTGGAAACATGACTCGTATTTCTTTACTACATTTAGTCTTCATCACCCGGTTTAGGAACTTCTGTGTTGTTTTTGATGAAAACATAAATTCAAAATTGAACAATAAAGTGCACGATCGGAAGTAAACAGTATTCAAAAGTTGGTTGAATTGAACAATTTTTATTCTAAACCTTTTTAGTCCAAAATATAGTCTAGTGTGCTTAAAATGCACTAGAAGGCTTAAAATGGAAAATCGAGCATTTCGTGAAATGTATATATTATTATCCATTGGCTAGATCGTAATGTGGGTTGATTATTGATAACAACGAATCGTTTACCAATATACTCAACTAAACGTGCGGCTACTTCATACAATGGTCAAACTTATTTAACTGAATAGTAGAATAATCACATTTAATATAGATAGAGGTGCTGGGGGCGCTTTGTTTACGTGCCAACATAGTGCCCGTTAATAACAAAGCTGTTTCTAGAAGTGAAAATTGCATTAATTCGTTACCAAAGATGAGAAAACACATGAAAATGGAAGACTTTAGAGTAAAATGGGGCAACATGGCAACACAACTTTCAAATGCTCACATTCTAAGCAACCAACCCAACCACAAAGAGAATGCGGCATTTTAGAGCGTGTATATTTCAATATGTGATGTGAAATGCTCGTTGGCATAATCCCAGACTGAAGTATGGCTAGAAGCAAAAATCGCGAATGATACGCTATGGCCATATTACCCGTACCCGTGGGTAATATGGCATCATGCTTTGGGGTATATGGCAACATGCTCCTCTCGTAAAAATTGCACAACTTTTTTCAGG